AAGCAAAGCCACAGGGCTTCAGCAGACTTGGCTCTGCTCCACAGTATTGGCCATTATCTTACCAAGGATGTTGCCTTTTAAAAGAATAGCCGGATCCTGTACCAGATTGGCTTTTAAAAATTCTTGCATTGAAATAGCGGCCAATTACAAAAACAAAATACAGGACCAGTCAAACGTTTTGTACACATCCTCATATTGAAACTGTATGGAAAAGTGTATCCAGTAAGCCCAAACTCTTGGCTGATACTGTATGATGCTAGTATCCACACTTTTGTAACAGGTCTGACAATATTCAAAACTATCATTTTTCATTTCCACAGAGCAAGCCGGAATATACAATAAAGGGCCATGCTTTCTTTAAGACCATTTCTGTTTACGAGCAGCCTGCAGGTGATTCATATCTGCGTTCTACCAAGCGACAAAAAGCAAGAATCAGTAGGTGTTGTTGTGAAGCTTTGTGCAGTGAAGGCACAGAAAATCGGCGTGGCCGTCGGTAGTTTTCTGTACACGCTAAGTCGTGCTTTGTAAGTGGTCAGAGCCCCCAACCAAGCTGCCACGGCCCCCCCAAGCCAAATTTGACTTTGGGGCCCTCTTATTCTGCCAATAATATGGATTAGATTGTGGAAGACCATGGAAACAGGCAAATTTGCAGACTTCTGGGGGGATGGGGGGGGTTTCATATTTGGCAAAATCAGCCGCTCCCACTGGCCTGCATGTCTTTAGCCATATGTGGTTTTCAATCTGAAATGGGGGCGCATTGTGTTCCAAGAGCAGCCTTGGGTTGACTTACATCACAGGTGATAATGCACTAAGCAGGATCCTGAATATCATCTGGGTCTGCTTAAAGTGACAAAATAAACCAATAGCCAAAGCACTCTACCATCGGTGAACAGTTCTGTACATTTTGTGCACGCTATTTGCTTTATTAATTTATTAATACTGATTAGATGCATGCTATTTATTGTGCTTTGTTTTGTATTTATTCATTTTTTTAACAGCCGCTGTGCACTGGCATTCCTCTCAAAGCATAGTCTGACTAATCTCATGTCCTGTTGCCATTTCAGTTTGTGTACCTTTTCTTAGATTTCACCCTTGCCCCCAAAGTGTTTCCAGTTGCTCAGATCTTACCAGAAAATGCTGTTGACATTGATGGGTCTAATCCGGACAAAGGTGTTTATCAGGTTGGGGTTTGGACATTTTCTGTGCATGTAAATTTAGCTGTTGATACACCATCAGTCTTCTTTTGTGTGGTCAGTGGGAACCAATGAAAACAGCAGATGCAAAACAAGGACATCGTCTTTCCAAGGATGAAGCACATTCTGTGTGAAAAGGGCAATCATTTTCTCAGGCACTTTGTCCTGGACAGACAGCTCTATGAAAACAACATGGAAATAATAGAATGTCCAAGAATCTTTTTTTTAATTTTTATTTAAGTGCGTTAGATGCAAAAATGAATTACCTTTACCGTGTAAAGGCAAATTTCAGAATCCAGATTTTTAGGCTATCCTATTTAAATTAATGGCAAATTTCAGAATCCAGATTTTTAGGCTATCCTATTTAAATGAATAATTGTTGACTCTTAGTCTTCAAATGATTTAAATTAAATCTTGAGTTGTTTTTGTTCTAAATCCTTTGTAATCTCTCATATTTCTATGGAGAAGTTGGTCAAGGCAACCTTTCAATAGAAATTCATGCTCTGCTTTAAATAGTTAATTACTCTCGGCGTGCAGTCTCCGGCGGCGTCTGGATGTGGATGTCAGTGGGGAGAGACGGAGACGCTTCTGTCTCTCTTCCTTTTTTCCAGCAGGGCCAGGCCTATATATTTTGCAGCTCATGTCTGAAAGGCTGGCTCCAAGCGCTAGGGGTGGGCTCTCGCTCTCTGATGGTTTTCCAGTGAGTATTTGTCAGGTCAGACTGTGCACCGCCCGGCGGTCTCCGCTCCTCTCCCCGGGTTATTTATTACCTCTCTCCCCCGCCGGCAGCGCTGCGGCTCCGGGGCCGCTGCCAACAACGGCGCAGAGGCGGGGGCCGCGGCGAGGGGGCTCCCGAGGTACGAGGAGGCCAAGGAATCGACGCAAATTGTACATTGGGGAAGAAGGGCATAAAGTTTTTAAGCCATCTGCTCATAACTAAGAAACAACATTTGATGTTTATGTCTTTTATAACGGTAGCAGGGCTGGTGACACTAAAAGGGAACCTTATTTTATTCAGTGTTATTTAGTTAATTCCTGTGTCAATGCATATATATATTTTTTTTTTTCTCTTTTTTTTCCTCTTGTTATTGTTCTTGCCGTTCTTACATTATTGTCCAGGTTGTGTGTCCCGCTGTCAAAGACCGACTTATCCGCTAAGTATTCCACTCACTAGATGATTCACAGAAAACAACTATAGACTTTTTAAAATACTTAAGTACCTAAGAATAGATTTAGAAATGTCTTCCAGACAACTTCAGATGCCCCTTTTTCCAAAGAAGTCTTGTCTTATGAATGAGGGCAAAAGACATTTGGGAACAATCATACATATTATATGTACTATAATACTGAAAGTGTCGACATGCACATCCAAATATATCAAAATGTAGACAAAATGTTAAATGGCTTAAAAAAGCAAGACTTCTAACATTCGTTTGTGTATCCGCCAGCAGCGGTGACGGACATTACCACAAAAATTTGAATGTTCACCTTTCTTGCAGTTATATCCTTTTTTCTGTGAAGTCAGTTACCCTAACGGGCAGAATATCTATGGCAGATCCATAGTCCAGCAGATCAGACTGGTTCATACTGGCAGTTTGACTTGGATTTTCTCAGTTTTATCACACAAGACCAAAAAGCAATGTGATCTGGCTATTGACATACAGACACATGATTCATCTTTGTTTCAAAATTGTTATGTTAATGTTGGGGTTTCATAGTTCATAGTAATTTTGTAGCGCTTAAGAGCAGCTGTGGGTTTTTTTGTGGTTATTGTCTTCTTATTTTTTATAGCCTATATTCTTCCATTTCATAGTAAAGTAAGTAAAATCTGTGAAAAGGTTAAGAGTTAGAGAGGTTAAACAAGGAATTCCCACCTATCGCAAGAATTTTTAAGAAATCGGCTAACTGCTGATGGAAAAATATACTCATTTCACAGCAAACCAAGATTGAAATGAAAGCTCGAGTGTCATCAGGTTTGGGGAACCCCTTCGTGATGAGCCATCCAGAGTGAGTCACGATCTGGGACGTGGCGTGGGCGTTGGCATGGGTGTCCCCTTTATGACTAGTTTCATCAGGGCTCTCCTGATGGTGCAACATCCAGCACCAACGCATTCATCAACAAGGTTTCCACTGAGACATTTCAGTGTGGTGAGAGCTGGTTTGATAAAAATGAGAAATGCAGCGAGCTTCTCGTCTGAAAAGTGGTGTTCCACTTCCTTGAAATAGCTTTGTAAACACACGCTGTAAATGTCAGCCGTTCATGATTTATGTCAGCACTTCAAAGTGAACTCAACAACACGTGGACAGTGACTTTTATTGTTAACTTGAAAAATGTTGCCTTTTAATTGAATATTTTAGACTGTAATCTCTTTGTGTTATACCTTTTGGCTAAGTGATGTTTTCACCTTTTTGGGGCTATTCTTAAGCCTTTAGAGCTAAATCTATTTTTGTCACTTTGTAATCTGTAAATCCTCTAATTCTACACATTATTTTCAAACACCTTTCTGGTCACGAGAGGAAAAAAACGATATTTTCAGCTCCTCGCTCTCGTTGGCGTGGCAGCTGCTGCCCGGAGTTTCTGCACGTCTGCTAAGCGTCCGTTTGCCTGGCCCCATCTTGGAAGCGGGCATTGTACCAGTTCTGGGCAGGCTGTGGACTCTGGCCGTCTCGTGCACGGCTTCCGCCTGCGGTGTGGCGTACCTCCTTCCTGTGTGTGTCAGAGGCAGTTTGGCTTGATTTATAGGCTCTTGACACACAGCACTTTGGACCCCTCCTCTGCTCCTGGAATGGCTATTCCATGTGTCGGCGGTAGATCCACCTGGGTGGTTCTCCACTGATGGGGGTCAGATGTGGTTTTTCTCACAGGCTTCGGGAGCTCAGGGGACCCTGCCCTGCAGACAGTGTGGAGAAAAAGGGCTTTCAGAGAATGTGCTCAAGGTTTCAGGCCTTTTTAAAACGGGTTTCCGTGAGTTATTCATATGATAGTTATTTTTTTCATTAATTAGCTGTATTCTTTCATGTCACAGCCAGCACATAAAGACGTTTAGATTATGTTTAGTCTTGCCTTTAAGTAAAAGTTTGCAATAGTTTTGAGCCTTAGTTAAGATGAATTGTGCTTAACCACAGCATTCAAAGTCCGAACAGTTTCCCTCTGTTATGCCAAACTCCCATCTCTTTCCTCGCATATCACACCCACGTCACCCCTCTTTTAGTACTGAAAGACAAAATGCTGGTTATTAAGCAATAGGGAACTCCCTAAAACAAAGAAAGTTCTAGTCTATTGTCCAGTCAGCAGCACATCTTCAAACTGCGAAGCCTGAAGGTGGCCTGTTAGTGTAGAAGGTATTCGAAAGTGGCTGAAGTCTGGCACCATTACACTACAGCAACTTGGTAGTTCTGTGTGGCAAAACGGGCCAGGCTGTGGTCACAGTAGGTATGGTTGAATAAATAAAAGGTTGAATTCAGACACAGGAGAGGAAAACAGACAAAAACACAGTGGACATCTGACAGCTGTTCAACACCTTGCCTCTTTGTGGATGTTTAGCTGTGAATGTCTGATTTAAAGCTTTGGAATTATTATATATATAACCAAATGTTTGTATATTTTTAGATACTGTCGACTTACTTGGTGAAGACCGTGTTGGGGCTGGTGCTACTGACCTTTTAATGTGACCTCGGATCACATCTTTTTGTGTGTTGTTTCTGTAAACCCTTTAGATGTGTGAGATAGTAAAATGTTACAATCACCAACCATCGAGACGAAAGTGGAGCTGAGACGATTTTTTTTTTGAGTAAACTGAGTAGGAGGACGCAGGTTACTTCCTGGTGCACGCAAATCATGGTTCCTCCATTTTGTGCGCTGGAGCGCCGTCCCTCGCAGTCCCCCCTCCCCTCCGCGGGGCTCTCGCCAAGCCTCCGCTGTTTAAATGGGCCAAGTTGAGAAGCGGCGGAGAGTGCAAATCTTGTTTGGTCTGTGAACTTCAGCGTGACTTCAGCAACACACAGGAGTTTAAAAAACCTCACAACTCTTTCCAAACTTTAAACAGTTTTAACGCTACAAAAATACTCTGGAATATAAAATCTCGGGATTTCGGTTTACGATTCAGATTGATGACATAGGGTAGCCTATATCAAGATTGTTTAGCTGGTGTCAGGAGTGTTTTTTTAATCTTAATTGGGTAAGGAGAAGTTGTATACTGGCCACATTTGAGCTCCAAGTCCCCATGAAAGAGGTGTTTTGTTTAGCTTTTTAGACTGTGCCGCTAAGTGAAAACGCCACCTCGTCTATAATTCAGTAATATTTATGAAAAAGTTAGATAAAAATATGCTCCAATAAATAAGAGACGCTGCGTGTAGCTTTGACCGGTAGTGATCGCCGTAAGTAGCATAATGTAAGGGGCTCAGGGCTTCGCAGCATGTCAGGTATTAACAGAGCGAGCGAGATTAAATGTGGGAGGTAGGAGCTGTGAGCCTGGCGGAGAGAGCTGCCGCCGCTGCGAGCTGGAAACTACTGAATGGGAATCTATCCGGCAACTTCACCAGACCGCTGTCTGACGGCGACACGGGGACTCTGCGTAAAACCAAGCGGCGCGTCTCCAAGTCTGGGTCAGCCCCACACACACGCGAAGAGGACGCTCAAGTTGGATCGGGCGAGCAGCTTTTCACTTGTTACCGACGCTCGGCTCCCACTAACATGCCTGCCATCAAGAAGGAGCGGCTGGATGGAGACGAGATGGCATTGACCGCGTTCAACCAGTCCGAATACCTGGCCCCTTTAAATGCCACCGCCATCCCCGTGGTGACCCCGCATCCGCCGCCCTACGACCACATTTTTGCCCATCACCGCGCGTACTTGGGGCTCCACGACTCGGCGCTGCATCACCAGCACCTCCACCACCACACGGACGACTTAATGCTCGAGAGGTTCTCCTCCATCCCCGACTTTCAGCCCTTTTTCGACAACGGGGAGCCGTGCATCGAGGTGGAGTGCGGGGAAAACAAAGCTTTGCTTTATATCAACAAACTGTGCCAGGGCAGTAAGGGACCCTCAATTAAATACAGGGGCGAGTGGCTCACCCCCAACGAGTTCCAGTTTGTCAGTGGACGGGAGACCGCCAAAGATTGGAAACGGAGTATTAGACACAAAGGTAAGAGCAGCCCATACTTTTGTCGTGGCGCCCAGATAAGTAAGAGGCGTCCCAGGTTACTTGCAATCTTAACAAACAACCCGTTTTTGTGGGTACTAACTTGAGTAGTGAGTTTTGGAGTGAAAGGGTTACAGCAGTGCTGTCGGTGCGTAAGGATACAGATGAGCCCTCCTCATACCTCCGAGCCTTTGACTTGGAGTTTGGGCTGAGATCCGGCTCTAAACGGGGGCATCCACATTTGGCAGCAAATCGACCGAGGTGAAAAGTTAGCCATAGATAATTAAACGAGAGAGACTTCAAATATTGTGTTTTGCAGCCTAAGGGGGCGAAGCAGCTGATCTGGTGCATGGATGTTGACACTTTTACGCGTTGCACGTTGGGTTTCAGGAAAGAATAGACAACTGTGTTATTGTCTTGCCTCTTAACATATCTGTCAGATTATTATTGGAAGTGGTTTTCATGTAAACTCAGTTATAAACGAGTTTTAGGGCAACTGTTCAACACGCTTCATGCTGGTGTTTGGGGGCTTTCTTTTGGGGTGCAAAACCCTGTAGCGGTCATTGTTTCGATCATTTCTTTATCTTGGTATCTTTAACCGAACATTTGAATGATTACGCCGGGTGCGCGCCCTCTCTCGCCACACACTCACGCGCACAAGGCTACTCAGGCAGAACTGATGCGCGTTAAGATGCGTGGGGGGAGGGTGTCGCCCCCAGGTCAAAAATGATAGCCTAATAGTTTATTATACCGATTCTTATGGTCAGATGACAGAAGCTTTCTGTCTCTTCGGCTGTCCATACGGGACTGTGGGGATAGTTAATGACCACATTGTAAGGAGAGGTTTGGTAAGTTGGGGACTTGGTCTCTCAGATAGACTTCCATTCTGCTTTAATTTGATTTCAAACAAAGATTTTAAGAATCATTTTAAAATCACAAATTTTAAAGTAATTGTTGGGTCTTGTCATTGTGTGTTGTCGTGGTTGTGTGTCCCCAGACTGTGGTTGGTACATGTCCACTTAAGAGTGTCTTTTGTTTATTCCAGGAAAAAGTCTCAAGACTCTTATGTCCAAAGGAATCTTACAGGTGCATCCTCCGATCTGTGACTGTCCTGGTTGCAGAATTTCTTCTCCAGTGGTAAGAATATTTAATCAGTCTTAGCACTGTTGCTGCTACTTTGCCCTTTTCTCCTTTTTGTGTTTTGATGTTGATAGGATGCTACTTAGAAAATATTTCTTCTATCTTGAAGAGAATGTTTTTACCTTGTATGTACAAGGTTAAAAGATTTTGGTTGTGTTCCCTGTGGTGATCATGAATCACCCAGCCTCAGTCTTCTCAAGGGTGAAAAGTTTTCAAAGACCACAATGCATCCCATTGGATAATAACACAAAATCCCATTATTCTTAATTGTGAACCAATAGAACTGTTTTATAGTTCATATATCCACAGGTAATCTTGATTTAGTCACCACTGCTCAAGAACAAGCTTCTCTTTTACATTTCACCTTCATTTTCAATACTTTAATCTGTGTAAAAGCTCAGCTTTGGGTGTATTGGTGTCCTATTGTGCGTTCTCTTTGTGAGTGCACCAGCCCTTATGCACTAGTGGCTCATTGAGGAAGACTCCGTGAGTGCATCTCGAATCACTGTCTTTGTAACCTTCATGCTGAAGATCTCTCGTGTCAACTCGGATGGTAATTTTTCTCATCCTGAGTGGAAATCCACTTTCAGATACTCACAGACGCAGAGTGTCAACAGTTTTTGTGTTCAGAGAGTTTGAGTCGTCTACTGCGACGGCCTGTCGCCAGACAAGCTGCTTGTTTGGGCTCCTCTATCTCCCTGAATCGGCTTCCTCACCTGGCCGTTGAACTTTTGTTTGCCTAGTGGTGTCCTCGGGGCTTGAACCGGCGGCACGGCGCCAAGCCTGGAGGCCTTGCAGGTGTGCCACAATTATGGCATCACCGCGCGGCGTTTTTGCGTGTGTGCACGTGTGCGTTAGCTTTGAACGAGAGCACCGCTGCCAAATCTGTTCACACAGGTGCAGCGGGCTGAGAGTCTGTGCGTTTTTTTTCTTTCTTTCTTTCTTTCTTTCTCTCTTTTTTTTTTTTTATCACCACGGTGCGCATCTGTCGTCACTCCCAAGCACTAATCTTGAGGGAAGGGTGTAAGAGGCTTAGCGGGCTACTGAGCGTGGCTACTGCTGATTATTGTGTGTGAGGCACGCAAGGCAAAGGCGGTTTTGATAAGCCGGAGGTGTTTGAGTGATACAGGTAAACTGGTGACATTTCTCCCGGCCGAGAATGGAGACCCGCACCCTGACACAAAGGTTTAAGCCACAACAAATGACACCGGGGAGGTCAGGGGACGGAAACAGCCGGCAGACGTGCTCGTGTTTTCCTCTTCTGTACCGAAGGGCCTGAGATTCCGAGCATGTCTGCTTGTGTTTCGGCTCATTGCAGATATCAGACTGATTGGCTTTTGGCCTGCCGCGGCTTGTACGGTTCCACTTTAATTACAGCAGTGACGGAGAAAACTTGGTTATTGACGCAAGCAGAGATATGAGAGCCTTCAGGTTGTTGTCGGAGACTTCTCTCATGCGCTCCCTTTCCTTGTGTGGTGATGAGGCTCCGTCTGAACTCCCCCGTGACGCGCACTCCGCCACACAGGTTGTGCGTAAGTGTGCTGGCAGTTTGAGGCTGCGAGGGCCAGGTGGAGGAGGGAAGGCAGCAGGACTTGTATGGCCTGTACTGGCGTCTCTTTTCCCCGCTGACTATCCTCAGGGCATGGCAGCCAGCACTCCCTCGCTGATGAGCTAGCTCTCACATGTACACACACACACACACACACACTGGTTTGCCTACTAACACAAATTACCTCACGCTGACATTTATTTCGAAAGTTTGACGGCTGAACTTGGAGTGATCTTGTTTCGCTTATAGGCGTGAGGCAAGCCATCACAACGCACAGCAGCTGGTAGGAAGACGTTTCACCTGCCTGCCTGGAGATCAGGGGAGTTAATTTGCTCCGCGCGCCTGCTCGTTGTAACACAAAGTGTCGTAGGGTTAGAAAACATCGGTTATCCACATTATGAGACTAAATCAATTCTTGCTATTGTCAGATGCTAATCACGGCCTTCAGTGACTCATCCACGACGGCAGCTTTAACTGTTATTGCCCCCTTGAAGTCATTAGATGGAATATAATATCCGAGACTGTGTGCACATGTTTGGGCTACTTTGTAACTGTGTCTTTGTCTCTGATTGTTTGTAAGCACGTTGCTGGCTGACTTGCCAGCCCGCCTGCATGTGTGTGCGTGCATCGGTGTGTTTGTGCATGAGTGTCTCCTCCCGGGAGAGCTGGGCTTCCTCTGCTCTGTTATTTCAGCGGAACTGGCGGAGGCCGGGAGGAAATTACACTCCCCTCCTCTGGCTCGTAAAGACCTCCTCCAATCAAGGGCTCCTCTTGCAAAGCGGAACTGAACACGCACGAACACTCAAGCACGGAGTTCGCGCTATACTTTTTTCGCTGCTTTGAAATGGCGTTTTGTCTAATGCGCTTTCACGATCAAAACGTATCGTACTGGATGAAGTTATGGACGTTGACCTGGCACGGGACAGATGCAGCTCTGAAAAGGGATCTATTGTGTGACGCCTCAGTCTTGTGTACATGTTGCTGATCCTACGTTGCTATGGTAACCCTTGAGTTGGTCACAGGCCCATAAGGGTGCAGAGCTGTGGTGCTGCCAAAAGCATTTGTGCAGTTTATGTATGCCTGTTTGTATATCAAACACATTTAGGTTCTAAGCAAACCTCAAGTCATGCACACCAAACTTCACTTACCTAAAGCTACAACGCACACAGTGGCATTTGTTGCATTGCGTTCTTGTTTTTTTTAAACTTATGTTCATTCAAGATAAATATTGATTGAAAAAATTAGGAATTAGCTCCTGGTATTGTCCTTTTGAGTAAGGCTCTGTCTTATGGGGTGAATGTGTTTGTATGGGATCTGTGTGGCACCGTGTGAGTTTATGTGTGTGGGTACAAAACTGTTAAGATGCAGCTAAAATGTGTCAGATCATCTGTGTATTAGCCAAATGTGGTTTATTGAAAGAATGCCTTTGGGGTTTTTTCTCTATCACCCTCGTCCCCAAACATATCTGTGAAAGTTTTTTTTTTTTTTTTTCGTCATGTGATTTTTGGCATGTGGTTCACTCTGCCAGCAAAATATTTCTATTTGTTTGTAAGAAAAGCTAAATCATACAAACCATGTGTGCAAGTGTTTGTTTAAGCTTCAACAAAAGTTTTGGGCTCACTCAGATGTGGGCTGTTCTACCTCCTTAATACACGTATACATCTAAAGCCATGTTAACTTCCTTTGCTGGTTGTTTTTAATTGGAACCCTTCTCTACTTAACTGAAACTTGCTTCTGAAGTTAACGGCGGCTCCATAATGAACCTAAGCTGCTTTTAAATTGGTGCGAGCTTCTTCTGAACCCGATTTGCTGAACTCGAATTGAGATTCCTTTGCTAATCGGGCCAAAATTAAATTCTTCTGAGGGCCAAACAAGAGCACATTTCATTTGAATTTACCAACCACAGCTTCACTCACGCCTCCACTTCCCCTGAGTTCGTCAGGGGAGAGAAAAGCACAGTCGTTACCTGTCTGTAAAGCTTCCCTGTGGCAGCCTCAGTGGGTCTATACAAACACACAGAGAGAGAAAGAATAAGGGAGGGAAGAAATGAGAGGGAGAAGGGAGAGCAAGAGGCGCGCTTGTACGCCTGACTGCACCGGCGCTGACCTCCCAGCGCCAAGCCAGCAGCCTTCCCTCCACCTCTCCGCCTCTTGCCCTCTGTGCACCTCCTTCCCCCTTGAGCCCCCCTTGTGCCGCTCCACTGGGTTGCAACTGCCCACTCGGCTCAGCGCGTGGGGCCCGGGTGTGCTGGAGAGCATGCGCATGTGTGTGTGTGCGTGTGCGTGTGTGTGCGTGTGCTGGCGAGGCGTGGGTCTTGGTCGCATGCCTGTCTGCCCTTCAGCGCTTTCTCACTTTTTTTTTTTTTTCCTCTTCCCCTCACATGGCTTCAACAACCAAGTGTTGCCTAACGTCTGTATACACACACCACACACACTGCTATCTGAATCAGATTTACTTTGCCAAGTCCATTTTGACTTTATGAAGTCGGCTCATTGGCGCATGACTCCCTGGCTAACTTTCGGTGGCGTTTCTGAACTGACACGTTTTTACAATATGGCTGAAACAATGCACACCATGTGAAGCTGTTCAGACTGTAGCTTAACATCGATCTTAGCATTAAAAGAAAGCGATTTTCTCCAACCAAAATGTATCCAGAACCAGAAATGATTGTGTAAAATGTTTAGGAAGCATATTAATCTGTATTTTTTAATCCTCAGATGTGTGGTAATGTGTGTTTACCTGAAGAGGACACTGGTGTGACTCCAGTTTTGTCCAGTCAGAACAAATACATTTGCATTTACTTTATTTCAATTGCTGATGAAAGTGTTGCTGCAAACCGACAAAGCAAAAGCCTCTTGTGGATGTTGAAATTGAACAGTCTTTCTTTCTGTAGACGTTTTGAGTCGAAAGCCCGGCTTCAAACTGCTGTTTAAAAAAAATCTAATTGAATTGTGTTGGACTATGAATATAAATCTAAATAAATGAATGTATGGAAAGAAATCTATGTGTGCTTTCACACATAAATGAGTGAAAAGCAGGACTACATATAACATGATGAAGAGTAGCAGGACTGGTGGTTTCATCTGGACAGTAATCTCTGAATGTGCAGCAGAAGGGTCATGGAGAACAGTGGATGCAAGTTGGTGTTTTGTTATATATGTGCCTTATTTAACCTGTTGAAGAAGAATAAAATGCCAGAAATGTTTTTTGGATCATGTTAAAACAGTGCTCATGCTACAACTAATGCCAGAAGTACTTTGCATTAATACAATTTGAAGAATACAGCGTAAAAACAATAGGTAGCGGTATGGCATTTTATCACTTTAGCCTTTTGTCTCCTTCAGAGATTGTCCGCTCAGTCGAGTCGTCATCTAAACTTAAAACAAAGGGTTACTGGTAAAATCCGATTACTGTGAATTAAGCTATTTATCCGATATTTCGAGGTAGCCAAGTGGGTAGCCAATGGGTTATGTTTGCTTGCTGAGGGTGCAAACATGATAGAATAGCAGAATAGCAAATTTTGGTCAAATTACCCTTCACAGATACACTAGTAACAATGTTGTCTGTGTCTTTCATTCAGACAAAAAGACTTAACAAAGCTAAGATCTTTTTTTGTTTTGTTTTTGTTTTAGGTGGATTTTAGGCCCATAATCGCAGTAAAGAAAGGTTATTTTGGGCTTTTTTCCCCATCTCTTATCACCATAATGACCGCTTCATCCACCCTCCTTACACTTGTTTTTTTCCTCTTTCCTTCTCCTCATTCTCCCTCCTTTTTTTCCCCCCCAGTGATCGCGCCAAGTCGGCCCGCCATCCAGCCTCCACACACACACACAAGTACAAACACACACACATGCTGCGAGGTAACGGCAGACAGGCGCGTGACTCATTAGGCATTCGTCCCCCAGGGATATCGCTGGGGGGGCGCGTGCGAGGGAGGGAGAGCGCCGCAGCTGCAGGAATGTCACGGGCAGCTACTGCTGTGTACGTGTGGGTGTGTGCTTGCTCATGCTAGTTGGAGCCAGCGGCAGGGCGCTGCACCTTTCAGGAAATAACGCAAGGAGAAAGAAAAAGAAAAACCCCTGCATACTCATTAGTTCACTTTTCCACCAAGAGTTCTTTTTAGAGTCCTCAGTAAATTTGGGGAGAAAAAATCAGGTTGCCTCACAATTTTAGCTTACATTTAAACGCCTGTGTTGGACTGGACTGTGCTATGGACTGTGTACATCTGAGTTGTTTTCCCGCTGCTTTCCGCTTTGAAATGTTAAATTCTCAGTTGGACTCCCCAAAATCAAATCAAAACCTTTATCGTTCTGGTACCAAATGTAGAATCAAGCCACCGACTGGTCCATGGCAACTAGTGGTTCAAGATTTAATGAGATATCTTTCTTGTTAAAATCGGATTCACACTTGTATGCTTATTGCTTTTAATCTAAATGTTTATTTAGAATTATTAAAGCTGTGTTGATGCATGCATTACTTGATCAAGAGGAATCGCTGAAGCACATGTAGTCTATGACTGCAAACACAGAACATTCCTCAGTGAAAAATTAAAGTTGCATTGTCAAAGGAATGGTTTTAGCCATATAATTTTGTCACACACTACAGAACAGGGAGAGAATATTCTTCTGTTATCTTCATAATGAAGTCACAGCCGGCTGTCTCATGCACTGGAAATATAGCATTGTTAGGGTTAAAGTGACTATCCCAATGGGGCTGTAATATCAGTCATTTCAAATTCTTATTATCACAGCCTAATTTAGAGAAGAATAGTGTTTCATTAATATCAATATAAAATGAAAAAACAAATGATGCTGGATTGAAATGCTTAATTATGATTCAAACTGAGAACAATTCCCTTCATTGTAACTGTGGTGACAGTCGAGAAGGAAATTATACTCAATTAAAACTAGAATTTTTTTTAATTTTTCATGCTCCTATGTATTATGAGTAATAATACACAGTAACAGCTCTGTGTTTCACCTTTTTTGCAGTAGATACAGTAATAGGCTTTCTGAGATTATGATTTTAATGACATTTATATTAATGTTTAGTAATTCTGGCTTGTAACAATAAAAAAAAGTACAGTGTTGAAATTGATTTACAATAGGCAATATTTCTATGACATTGTCACTGTGATACATGTTATGGAAATATAAAGCTTCAAAACTTGACAATTTTAAATGAAAAAGTTATATTTACTTGAAACAATAAGTCACAAAGTGAGTAGTTGGAGACCAGCCCATGTTGACATTTTCTGAGTACTTTTTAAGGAGCTTTACTCATTTGGATAGGTCCAGACCATTTTTTCTTGGTGCAAACTCCTCAAAAATGTTCAGCAGTTGCACCCTGTTGTCTGATGGATCATCCAAATCTATTTTGACGGATCAGGATAAGGGCTGGGGGTGGTCGCTGAAGCTTCTAAAGCCACATGATAAAGAATTTAGGTGTGGGCAGCGATGAATGATTCAGATTCAGCTTCCTGCAGGTCGCTGTGAGAGGCTGCTCCATTCATTTTTGGCACTTGGGTCAGGAGCCCACGGCATCCGTTTTGAGTGAAGAGGATAATCCCCGAGCATCAACTTTGGAGCTTTTGGGTTTCCCAGGTGGGTAGTTGAGGGATGTGTCAGAATGGTGACGCAGACAATGTTGGTGAGGCTCTCTGTCTAAAATACATTTTACTGTGGGGTTTCCTAACTTGAACCAAAGAGTTTGAATGAATACTGCAATTCTACATTCTGCGGTAGCGATAAAGATGTCGTCAAAAGTAGCGGAAAACGGCAGCATCGATGTTGGACTTGAACACGAGACTCTTCCTCTCATCTGCTTTTATCATGAATCAAGGTGGCTGGTGTTGAATTAGTTTGAGATAAACCACTGCTTTATACGTGAGCTTTGAGAGGCGGCTCTGGTACGATGGTCTCACTTCTTCTCTCACTAGTTCTGGTGGTATTAGTTTATCAGTATTTTGCATGTTCCTCCGTGTGTATGTGTCTTTCCTTTTTGTGTGTAAATGTGAAGCCCAGATATATTTCTTGGCCGCCTTACTGTCAGACAGAAAGCGTGGGAGGCGATATTCATAGAGGTGCTTTTAGTGGGACTTTTATGAGACACTTTTTTCCATGGCTTAAAGGAGGTTGACCACACACAGTAAGGTTGCCTCAGTTCAGCACACACCCATGTGTTTGTGCGTGCACTTCTGAGCCTGTGTGCTCGGCACCCTTCCTTTGAGCGCTCCTACGTGGGCTGCCAGGGGTGTGTTCTGGTTCATGTTTTGTTTCAGAGAGCCGTCCCCCGTGCTGCGGAAGTGTTGCCGGAAGCAGTGGGAGCTCACCCCCAGTTCTGCGTCAGTGCCACTAAAGAAAGGACTGGGGCTTTCCGGGAGGAGGGAGGAAGGGATGGGGGCTGTCAGCCTGGGTATGTCATGGCCATGTGGGTGGTTGTGTACTCGCGCGCACACACACAGCCACAGTCACGACTGCTCACAGGCGAGCTATTCTTGCTTACACTACATTGCTGGTCTGCTCCAAATGAAATCCCCTGCTTTGGAGGGGAATTTTGAGGAAGACGAACAGGTGTGTTTGTGTGTGTATTCGTGTCAGAGTACACATGTGTTTATGTGTCGGAGTTCTCTCTCATGTGCTCGTGGTTGTTCTCTCTGAGAGGTATTAAAGCTTTAAAGAGATCTTTGGGTTTAGATTTTACAGAGAGCAGTTTGTGTTGACGGAGATCAGTTGTTTCCATATTTAATTTAATTTCCTCTGATGTGATCTTGTCCCCCCAATCACCCCGTTTGGGCTCCAGGACGAAATTCCTACATCCAGACCTTGCGTGGAAGGACCTGTGCTTTCAGAAAGTGATCTACTGTCTTCAGTTGCTGGAGTAAAACTTGTAAAAAGCTCCAGCAGGAAAGAGGGAAAAAAAAGGAGCAAGAACCTCTTATCTGGCAAGGCACAGAGAAAGGAAAAGGAGTGAAATGTGCAGAGTTCTGTGGTCTGCTCATCCTGAGGGATGTTTTCATCTTTCCCTGCTCCCCCAACTCGTTTAATGTCTGCCATTTGAGAGACTCCAGAGGGGCTGCACCTGTTTGCCTCTTGGCCAGGAGCCCCCAAATCCCTCCCCCTGCCCCCGCCTGCCACTCAAGCGAGCGTACCTCCTGGGATGGATAGAGCATGAGAAGGAGGGGATGGGCTGAGTGGAAGAGTGTGGGGTTGCGTGTGGTGGAAGGGATGGCTGGAGGGCTTTAAGGCGTCCGGGAGTAAGAGCAGAGATGTGGGCAGGCAGAGTGAAAGAGAATATAGTTTAAAATCCAAGTCCACTCTCTCACACTGGTCAGACCTTGCTTCTGTGGAGCTTTCTTTCTTTCATGTTTTGACCCACCACATTCTCTTTTATTTCTATATTTTCTCTCATCTTCTCTCTCCAGCACGAACCCACATCTGCTCTCCCTCTCCTCCAAGCTCGCCTATTGTTCCCTTGCTCTTCTCCAATTTCTGACTCATTCTCTTTTTAGTCTTTCGGTCTCCCACCCCTCCCTGCGAGGTTATTCGTTTGCTCCCTTTTTCTCCCCCTTCGCCTCTCTCTCTGCGATGGGCCATGGTAATCTGCAGTGACCCCTTCAGGTCACATTAAAGGTCGCCCAGCTTCACTTCCTTGCTCCCCCAGGGCCACTCTCTTAATCCCTACTTTTCTGTGCTTACTTCTGGCAGCTTTAGAACAAAATAAACACTCAACGCACAATCCAAGTGCAACTATCTTCCTCATTAGTTTATATTAGACTAAAAATAGGAATGGGACTTTATCTTTGTTGCTCATGAAGTTGTTTAAGTACAGCAAAAATACTCAACACAAAGTGGAAGTTTTAAGTATTGACTTTAGTTGTAGTTTTTGTTGCTCTCATTTCACAAATGTCTAAGTGTGAATGATATATAAACTAATACGATTTAAAATATTACTTTTTAAAATATTAACTGTATAATCATAAACTCCAACCTCATGTTGATATCCTTAACAGTATGTATCCTTTAACAGTTTTGATGAATATGCAGTTTACATAATGCTGAGATGTAACTTAGTATGTCTTTGCTAAATCAGATTGCACTTTATGAATTTTTAAAACCGGTTAAGCTACTCGGTTTGGAAAGAGTTCAGCTTTCTCACAATTTTTTATGAAGAGAATGTGTTTTGAGGAATAGCAAACTCCCAGTTTTGAGCCTCAGTGCCTGGTGAATCCTGTTGCTGAAGCGTCTCCTCTTCTGTGTGACATGGTTTGCAGAACCGCGGGCGCTTGGCAGAGAAACGCTCCATCCCCCTTCCACCCAACCGGGTGCCCAAGAAGGAGCTGGCCTCCATCTTCAGCAGTGACGACAGCGAAGGCAGTGATCGTGCCAGTGGGGATCATGCCCACATCAAGCAGGAAGACGAGTTGCATTACAGTACCATGAGAAAGAGGTAAGGCACATACTGTACATCTGAGTCATATGAGCTCGTCTTCAACATGGTACAGGCTTCTTTAATATACGTCCTTTTCTGTCAAGATCTTTACAGAATAGATTTTTTTCTCTCTCGATGGGTTGGTGCTGTAGGTTTCTATGCAAATGATGTGAAGTGAAATCACTGTGGAAAGAAAATGTGATGCAACCCTCTGAGGTGTCACTTTTTTAAAGGCTTCTTTTTAAAATGGCTTCTCTTGAGATCCTTTCTGATAGCAGATGAATACAGCTTTTTAAAGCAATAGTCTAATTTCTTGTTATATTATTTTTTTGTAATACTGCACCTTTTTAGATGAAAAAAACATTTAACAAAATATTTCATAGTTCCTAGTTGAACATAATTCAACATTCGGCACAAACATGGTTATGTTCAAAGCTTTTTACATTCTTACTCACACATGCTGCTCCTCAATGAGTTAATCTTATTTGGCTCTGGCACATGGTCTCGAAGAACCTCTAAATGATACACCCTGCTTAGTCAAACTCTGGCATTAGGACATGTGTGGATGTATAGACACACGTAATGTTTGACATATATGGATTTTCTGATTACTTGATGTGCCTGTAATCTTATTAGCATAATTCAAACAGATTATTCAGATTATTGAAAGATATAATTCAGAATCTGTCCATTGATTAACCTCAGAAAATCCCCTGCTACAATATAAACAGCTTGTGCAAACTCATTACGGGAGGGGATGTTTTTCACGTCTTGAGACTTGCGTGTGACATGGCGGACAGCACAGCAACTGTGAAGCTTTAAATGGATCCACTAACCTCGTTTAAGAGGGCCTCCCCTCCCCCTGACACTTGTGCCGCTGGCGTGCTAAGATGATAATGAATTTAAAGAACACTTATGAGTAATATGTCAGGCTTTTACCCTTTGAAAGGCGACGGACTCGCTGGAGCCACAGCTCCGGTCTGTCGTGGGCATCCGTCTCGGCCTTGCTTTATCCCCCGATGTGGGTCTGGACGAACAGGATAATGGGATGTCCAATCATGGAAATGTGATTTCCATTGACCGCAGCTTCGTAAGTGAGTCGTAGAAGGGTCTTAACAAATTGGATTTGGCCAATGGATGTGAAAAATACAGGGCCTCTGTATACATGTGTGAGTGTCCCTGTGCTGTGTCATCCTCATATCATCAGAGCTCACGGCAGCAGGGTCACACCCACTTGGTTTTAGCAACTTGTCCATTGCAACCGTTCTTTAATTTCCACGCACTCATCAAACATGTGGTGTCAGTTTTTTTTAAACTATCATTACTATTACTCCGTTTTGAGTGCAGGGTTAGATGCAAATTACACTGATGGCACTCTGGGTAACGTTAAGAGTAATTGTTGTCTGGTTAATTAAAGCCATTTAAAAGGCAACCCATCTTCTTTTAAACAGAGAATCGAATGCAGTTTCTATTTATTCAGCTTAAGATCTGTTCCTCTTTCTGCTTCATAAGAAAATACAGTTTGAAGTGTCATCAGATTGGAGAATCAACCAACTTTTTGTGATCAGAATGAGATGCCCACAGCAGCACCGAAGGGTGCCCAAACCTCCCGAGGTTCCTGGGAGGGTGGTTTGATTTTCTTTGGATGACTGTGGCACAGATTGTTTGTTAGTTTACCTTGATGGAGTTTATCCAAGGAACCTTTGTTTTTACAACAATTCTCATATTGGAAGGATGGTTATGGAAATATGGAAATGAGCAGTGGCGTCTCTGGTGTTTTGTCGTTCATTATGCGCATCTTCCTTGGCATGTGGACTGTGTGACAGTATGATTAGAACACCTCTCTTCCTCCTTTTCTCGTATCATTATCACTAAGGTCACTTTCACAATGAAACTCAGCTGTGCGTTGAATAAAGTGCTTCAACAAACCACCTCTTTCGTTTTTTGTTTTATTTTATGTGTGAACCGTCTGAAGATTTTAGAGTCTTTCTCAAGGGCAAAACAAAGCCTTCTTTAGATTTTGTTTTATTTGGCCGTAGATAACAAAGCTTGATTGAGAAATGCTGACTGAGAGTCTGCGTAATTACCCGGCAACCACCATGGATTTTATAACGTACACCTGCTGACGTCTGAATTTCAGCCTGCAGCCTCTGGAAAAAAAGATGAACATTTTCACTCTTCTCATGATTACCTTTTATCAAAACAATCACAGACAGGTTCTTGTTTTTTTTTCTCCAATAGGGCCATTTACCTCTTGATCACGTTTATGCAAGTGCTTTCTTTCACAAAGGGTAGATAATATTAACTGCATGTATTTTTGCCATCTTTGTTGATAGCTAAGGGTTATGTTAGCAAAACATTTTGTCATGCCAACTTATTTTCTTTTTTTTTAAATAGACATAGTGGTTTCCTAAGATTTTTGCTTTTTTACTCAGAACTTGTTTTTTAATCAGCTCCAATAACACATTATGTTGCAGTGCTCATTTAGATGAAAATTGTATTATTAAGATAGCTTGTTGCCAGCCAATACTTGAAAGAGGCTGTTTATTGAAATTAAAAGGTAAAATAAGAAAATTAATTTTCATTTAATTTACTCGTCACTACTTTCTGGCAGTGTGTTTGATCATATTCCCTTCGATTTTATACACAAGTATCGATATTCTATTCCACCACAAGAAAAAATGCATATTTGTTCAGGTCAATCAGTACAAAAACCATAGAGATTAATAATTTGTATTTAAAATTTTCTCTGGATTTAATTGGACTGTCATGAGCTTATGCCAGTTAGAGGTCTCAGACAGTGCTTTCTTATTGGAAATGGCTCTGCCGTGACGCAGTAATCAGTCAGCTGGGAGGTTTTGTAGCTTTTTGTCGAAAACCTTTTAATTAAAAAAATTGTCTGCCTTGTTTGCATGTGTTTACCATAGTAACGGTCTATGGAGTTTAGTCTTTTGGGCAATGGTCAACAGCAGGATGTTCATTGTTTCCACATAGAGTGTTTTCTCTATGAGCTGCGTTTCAAAACAGGGATCAACAAAAGATGGTCCGCAGTGTTCTAACGGTTTACTCTCGGATATGGCTCAGACTGTAAGGTTAATCATTTGCACCTGTAAAAAAACAATGGTTATCATTCGCGATGTGCTGTCATAGCATATGCTGAAATCGGTTAAAGATAAGAGTTTTGGTTTTATGCAGTGTGCTCTGTGAAAGCTCAGAGGGATTACATCATATGTTGGAATAAATTTAACTTTTTCACGCCAATTGTTTCTTACAACACGATGAATGTCTCTCCAAATTAGAAAAATCTGAAAAACGATAGCAACGTATAAAGTATCCCTCACATGAGAAATCATGAGTAAAACTAGTTATGTATCCAGGAGAACCTTCATACGGCATAAAAATGTTGCTGTATATTCTACTTCCATTGTACTTTTTTTTTTCTTCCCATGGCTGCTTTATCGACCTCATGTCAGCATGTATATCGGAGGCACAACAGGGAGACATGAGGCCTGGCTACTCTTACTTATTTATGTATCTATTTCGGTATTTATTCATTACCCCTTATGCTTGCTGGACTCCCAGTTGCTGGTTGTCTTTCGATTCGTTGTACGAAGCATGACAATAGTGTGCCGGTTGCTTATGTGCAAACGGTTCTAGGATGTTTTCTTGTTGAGCTCGGAGGAACTGCTGCCTATGTTCAGAGCTTGCTGAGCTCTGGTTGTTGTTAAATTAGAACATCTTGCCTAGCTTTGATTGCTGCTGTGGTTCCTCTGCACAGATTGGAACTGGGTGTGTGTTCAAACTGTTGTCTTAAACAGATGAATGTAGCAAACATGCATGCGCCAGATGTTCCACAGCGCTCGCAACACGTTTCTGCATCTCCTCTGTCTGTTTCTCCTCCTCCTACCTCACATCCCTGCTGCCTGTCTGTCAGGGCTTTCCCAGCGGTGGTGTGAGACATGGCGTCAGGGTGCCTGGGCCGCCAGCTTCTGCCAGCTCACACTGTGACCTCCAACCCCGCCGCCTAAGCTTTATGTGCCAATGCCACAGCAGGGCAATACTGGGAATTTATACTGAGTGAACTCCCAGTGCCAGTAGAGAAGATCTTTAAGTGTCTGTTCTATATTGTAGAAGGTAGCAAAACCTTTCTAACAAAAGAAATGTACTGACCAGACATATCTGCTGTTAGTTTAACTACTTTAATGTTAAAATTAGACTAATTTGACTTTTTTATGAAAAATATACTTTTTATTTTTTTGTATTTTACATTTGTGACTTGTGTTTGGATTTTTTTATTTAGTTTTGGTCTTGATCCAGTGAGGCAGAAGGATTGTTGTGTCCTTGATTATAATGCATATTTCCTTCAGTGTCTGGGGTCAGTGTGTCTGCTCTGTCTGCTGATGAAGGGGCAGTATTGACCAGTTAAGGGATGAGCTGAGGATGAGATGATTGTCTCCGGTGTGCACCTGGGTGATAAGAAGATGGCTCATGTCCTTCTTAGCTATCGGACCCAGCAGCCGAGATATAACCCCCCCCCCTCTCCATCCTCTCCGAGGCACCCGTCCTCCCCAGCTAACACTGGCTTTAGGAGCTCCTTAGGGAGCGCTGACTCAGGTCACTGGGTTTTAAACGGCGTTCCCTTCCCCCCCTCTCCATCTTCCATGGCTGGAGTGTGACCTTGCCTCCACCCACAGGAAAGAAAAAAGAAGGAGGGTTTGAGGGAGGGCAGGGGTGGGGGGGATAGGGCTAAGCTCTCATTAGCCCAAGCCGAGGCGGGACAGCTCAGGAGAAGTGCGCTAATTACCCAACTAACAATGTCCTTGCCGTTCATGGCTTAGAGCGGCCACTTCGCCACAGGATAATAACCCCATCACCTCTCTGAGAAGTTCAGGATGGCATTATCATGATCACTTTAAATGATGGACAGAGGGTGGTGTTATAATGCTGCTAGCTGACTGATGGATTTGGCTGTAGTTTCTTAAAGTGGCGGCATGCAACTGCAGCAGTAGTTTGCTTGAGTTAATCGGTGGTGCATATGCCTTATTATTTAACGTGTAACAAACTTTTAATCAACTTTTTGTATCTCATTTTCTTTTCGAAAAAAAAACATCGGGCACCAACCACAGGTGGCTACCAATTTTAGTAAGTTACACCCTAAAAAAAAAGTCTATCATTAGTCCAAGAAGTTTGCAGTCACAGTCCAATCAAGCGTCTCCTTGCCTAGCAACCGATGGGTACTGTTTTGTCTGGGGCTTATTTCTGAGTCATTGGTTCTCGGTGACTGAGAGGTGACTGGTGAGGCAGGCATGAGGCCCTCAGCACTACCCTTCATCTTTTCTGTTAGCGTGTGGAAAACAGCTTGGCGACCGGCAGCCTGACATTACAGCAGCAGCCTGTAATCATGGGACTGTAAAAACCCAAATCCAGCAGCCACAAACAGTGTGGCCTCGTCACGGTGGTGGCAGCTAAGAAGCATTCACTGCTTCTGTCCCATAAACTGCACTTTGCGTGTCATACCAGACCCCCGTCACAGTTGACCGGGCTTTCAATAAATTTGCCAGTTAAACCTATGAAAGGGATTTCTGCTCGGTGGAGAGGATGCTGAAGTGATGGAACTGACTTGAGTAAACGCAGCGTGTTGTAGTGCTCGTTATGTAAGCAAAATGACATAGAGGAAGAAATTTCGTCCACAGGTGAGCTTTATAACTGTTTCTCGCGCAACTTTTCGGTCAATGTCCCATAACGTTTTTTTATATTGAAACTATGCAGGAAATGTTGGAAATAGTTTGCCTCTTAGCTGTCTTATAATAAAAGCGTTTTGGCCTTGCACTGAATATACTTGTTCTACCCCACTGGCATACTCCCCTCAAACGCTAAGCTTCTATTTCCCATCGTTATTCCGCTTTAATGCGATCAGGATGGTAATCAGATTTCAAATGAAATACCGTCATGACACAGTTCTGTGGGCTCATTGGTGTGGGCAGTTTAGAAAGACAGTGGATGGAGAATTTGGAAGGACAGAGCAGCTCCAACCAAATCTAGGACTAATCAATAAACTCTCCTTATGCTCTTCCTTTGTGTGCTGAAGCTCTGGACAGGGGGTTTGACAAACTTCGGGGGTCTGTTTTTATGAACCTTTGCTTCTTTATAATGCAGAGATAAAGGGAAGAAAGCCTGGAGCCCAGTTTCTTTTTAATCATCAGTGTTACATACCACAGTTACAGTGTTGCCTTTAGTGGAAATACACTGTCAGAACTGAGGAAGATCCGTCAAAAGCTGCTTTAAACTGTATTTGTACCTTAATAGTCTTTCTTCTGTTTTCATATTATGTAGCTGTCATATATATATATACATATATATTTATATATATATATATTTATGTAAATATAAAACACATCTAAGCAGTACAGTTTGAAAGATGCCACATTAAGGTTTTAAGCTGCTAAACTACTTATGGCTTGTGAATATGTTCATTAATGCATCTTAGTGTGGAAGATGAGTGAGGATGAGACCGGAAAGTGCTGGATACAGTAGTCTGTCAAAGTGTATTACACACCTCAGAGGTAAGAGCCAGTTGACAGGACAGCCACTTGTAGCTGTGGAGTCTGTGAAGGGGAGTGCATTGTATAGAAGGCAGGTCTGTCTTGATGGAGGATTTTTGTGGTAAGTCGCTGCTCAGTGCTGTGAATGAATATTAACAGTTTTGTTACATACTGATTTGGATTGCAAGGTGGAATTCATTTGGTTGCACTTGCTTTTATTAAATATTATGTTCTTCCTGTTTTTTTATTTCTATTACAGTCGTGACAGTGGCCTCTCTACAATTATCTCCAACCTACACCACACCAGACAGCACGGCATGCCCGAGGGCCAGTCAGTATCAGACCACAGTACCAGTGCCGGACACACAGGTAGGATTCACATAACACTGCCTGAGTGTTAGTGTGCGGAAATTTGTCGCTGTATGATGAAGCTATTTCCTCCTTTCCATCCAACTCAATGATATATGGCAATCCTACATCTCCTGTAACACATGTAAATGTTTCATTACCCATAATTAACTCAAAATTTGTGTGATTGGGGGAATTAAATTTAAGCTTATTACTCATTCCCAAAGGTTGCTCTTAAGTTGATTACTTAATATTCTTCCCACATTTCCTACTGCACTCCAGGATTTTTGGTTAAACCCCTTGTTTTAAATTACCACAGAATAAATAGCTTTGTTTGCCTTTAATCCAGTTTCATGTGAGCAAAGGAACCAAAGTGTGCATTTACTAAGCTAAGAGCTTTAAGAACACAGACCACATTTAATCACAGCTATTTGTCAAGTAGCCTGTTTGAGGATATTATGGAGCCATCTGTATATCACTATTCACCTACCAAAGCCACTTTTCTCAATGTTGATGCCACTCTTGAGTTAGTTTGTATAGTTTACTCATGTGATCCTCAAATTATATAATCGACAGCGTGTAGCTCCATAGGTACAAGGTCACCAGTGACGGTTTACATTTAGTCGCATTAGGATTCGTAAAATAAAAAAACTCTCAGTTTGCTGCTGAAAGAACACAGTGAAGTGTAATAAGTAGCGTATCATCGGTTGTATGAAATAGATTAATTATAATGTTTTTATTTAATTATTAATGGCAGTGGACCACACCTTTGCTCCACTGTTGCCCAAAGTTTGACCCTGTCCATATTTATCCCATTAGCTTGAGGCACAGCAAGTGGCATAATCACTCACCCCAGACTCAACACCTCTATACCCTGTCCATGTGTGCTCACCTCCTCTGTCTGCCAGATTAATTGTCCATACGGTGGCTGTGATATCAGGCTGGCTGGATGGAATGAGGAGGATAGACCATTCAACAGCCAGTCAGTATCTCAGACCTCATTTTGGGATAGTTTTCCACCAATATTTAGTAGTCAGCTACTAAGCTACATTTTAAAGTCTTGTGTTCTTAATGTGGGAGGACAAGAACAGATAGAGGTGGTTTTGGAGTTGTGATGGGGGAGGGTGTGAGCAGAGTGTGGCCAACGCCATAGGGGGTCCAAGACCCTAAAATCTGTCCGTTTGAGCATTAAAGGGAGATTTAACAGGCTGCCTAAGCGGCTCGCTTCGTGTCTGTAAACAAGTCCAATCCGATCAGCCACTGGCTCTAATTCTGTCTGCCAGTGAAATTAGACACACATACATTCTCAAACACACAATTACACAGAAATAACACATATTTATACGGAAGCATGCCTACGCAAAATCAACACAGGTTGAAATTTGCATCCAAACACTTAGGTGGGTGAGATGTGAAGTACAGCAGTGGATTATTTGACTTTGAGATGGAAGAGATGCAAAAAACAGCTATCATATTGTTTGTGCTTTGCTCTGTCAGTCAACTCTACCAGTTGACTTATCCTCCTAAACTGGAGGCAGACGAGAAGTGAGACAGGTGAGACATAGAGGAAACGTCTGAAAAGTAAGACACAGATTCACAGTCGAATAAACATTTCAGAGAGAGAAGAGAGAGAACAACAAGTTTTTTTTATGGAATCAAAGGAGGGCAAGAGGTAACCATAGTGGTGGATGGCTCTATGTGCATGTGAGGGATGGGGGTCAGGAGAAAAGGGAAGCAGGCTTGCTGGGTTGTGTATGTGCTGGAGTAGGCCATTAATTAAATTTGAGGAACAGACAGGAGGACTGCCTCCCTCCTTCTCTTCCGTGCTACAACCCTCCCTCCCCAGCCGCTGGCGATTCAGAGCCTCTGGGATGGAGGAGGAGGAGGAGGAGGGGGAGGAAGGGGAGGAGGGGGAGGAGGGAGGCGGAAGGAGGGGAGGGCAGGGCGCCGGCGCTGACGCTGAGAGTCTGGCTGCCTGTGGAGACTGTAAACCGTGGCTCTGCGGTCAGACCGGAGACTCAAACAGGCAGATAAGGTGTTTTTGGGCCGCCACTCTCTCCCTCTCTTTTGCTCCTTGCACTCAGACTCCCTGAGCAGTTGCAGCCTGTTGGCATGTGTGTGGCTGGGGGTTGCAGCAGCGGTCTGGGCTTGGGAACATTTTTTTTTTGGTGTGTCTGTGTATGCGCATCTTTCCGTGTGCGGTTCAAAAAGCGGAGTTTTAGGTGTTTGCTTACGTGCGATTCTGGAGCCTGGCATGTTTGCGCAAGACCTCTTCTTTCAAAATAATCGTGAGCGAGGATGGCTTTTTAAGTATTATCAGCTCCTTATTACGTGATTAGCACTGAAAGGACATTTTGCACCAAAGTAAATAGTCAATCTGTGGTGATAATAGCTCTGTCTTACAGAGGCAAACAGGATAATGTGGTTGTAAATATAGCATTATAGCATTTAAAGCATTGAACTGCTTAACGGAAGTGTAATTACTTTGCCTCATTAAAATAGTTATGGTTGGTAAAGACGTACAAAGTCAGCCAATAGAGTGATGTAAACACAGAGTAGTGCAAATAGTGAAAATGTTCATATTTTCTATTCTTGACTGACTTTTTTAACCTTTTTGTACATTTGAACAACCTGGCTGTTTGTTTTTCGATGGTAACAAATTCACCGCATATTAACATCTACCATTTGAAGTTTGAAAACGTCATGCATCATATAATGTTTTGATAAAGCCTTTTTTACATAAAAAATTGTAAGACATTCTTAATTGTGAGGTCTTTTATAGAAATATGTGTATTTTGTTATGAATTGTTGCTTAGCAACAGTTGCTGTTAGCAGAATTTAGATGATTGTAGAAATGACAAAGATTACATACAGACAGCAGTGAAACTAAGAATGACAGGACAAATTACAAATTCATGATAGGTTTATTAGGAAGATGTCTTAAACGGCAGAAAAAATGTTTGATCTACATTATGATGAGGTCAGAAACATTCACTTTTGGGTTTATGTTGCTGGCTTCCAGGTCCATTCTGTCCGGTCAAAACACAGAAAACATTTGTATAGAAGTTACAAACACTGACACAAACTTCTGAAACCCATCTGAAAATATGCAGCCTGCACTGAAGTTAGTCCTTCTGAACATTCATTCATTTACTAGCACATTTATTTCCGAATTTATACACTCTTCTTTTGACAAGGAATCACTACCAAACTGGAACGGTCCAAAAAAACAGAAAATTACAGGGAAAACAATTCCCATCAGTGTAGTAACACAAATTAATTAAATATATATTTTGTAAGTGTAACAGTGATATTATCAACAAAAACTGACTAATATTAAAGGTAAAACACTATTGAATGAAAAAGAGGAGCACACATTTTGAGGGTAAGAGTAGAAATAAGTTGACTACAAAGTAATCCACTTACTGCCCATGGAAATTCCCATTTCTACCTGATCAGAATTGATTTTTCACTTTTTTCATTTTGACACAGTTAGCTAATTGAGCCTTACAGAAAAGCACTTTGAATTATGAAAAACAGATGCAAACACTATATGTCGGTTTAGTTTTTATAGTGTACCATAACCATAATGTGCATCAGATGGGGCGCTTATTGATTTATCAAAGCCAAAGAGTTTCATTTCGAGGCTAGTCCCGATTTTCTTATTTCATTCTTTTTACTCGTCCGCTCATAATTCCTTCTTCCGGAAAGAATTAGAGGAACACAGGTGCTCTTTCTGTGGCAGAGTTACTGTTTCATTTGTCCAGATCAGTGGTGGTGCATCCTCCTCTCGGCATGATCAGAGTTGGCTCTCGCCTCAGCTCCATCAGCCGCCCCCATCCGCTCCTCTCCCGCCCTCCCCTCCTGTTCCCAGCTGCATTGGCCCGTAAGCCAATCAATGGCGGGGCTTTCAGGGCCGGCGGAGGCCCCGGCGCGCGGAGGGGGATCAATAAGTTATTAGCACCATTCTGTCAGCTGTAATGTGGAGATTGATCGGGGGGCTGCGGCTGGCGGCCCACCCCACGTCCCCACCTGTCACGCCCCCGCCCTTCAGCGCCGCTCTCCACACAGACCCCCCTCTCCCACCCCCTCGGCCTGATAAAGATGACAGATTAACGGAGTAAGGGAGGAATTAAGGAGTCTGGCTGTCTGAGCTGTCAGCACGCTCCATGGGACGGTAAGAGGAAAGGAGGACGACTGAAGTTTTCAGGAGAACAGGAAATCAGAAAAACTGAATGCTCACCTGCCTGGTGATTTTCCCCGGTATCACCGCTTGAAGGGCGAGTCGCTTAGGTCCCACGGTTTCCTGTTTCTCTTTCATCCCTCTGTTCTCATCCCTCCTTCTTCTCTTCAGTGGGAGGAGCGGCAAATAAGGCTGGAACATAATGTCTTAAAGTGAATGGAGATATATCACAGCTGCTTTTTGCAACGAAAAATGATGCTATTTGATAGTGAAAATCAAAGCCTTGAAGCTCAAACCAACAGCTGACTCCACAGCCTCTAATTCCTCGGTAAAATTAACAAGCAGGTGATCGGAAAACGCCTAGGGTCGCAAAGTTGACTGGAAGCAGTGTTTGTCGGGGTGAAGGAGTTTGTATAGATGCTAGCAAAGCTCAGAGTTTGGCATTAAAAGGGAGCGCCGGTGCTCTGAGAAGCCCCATTTAATTGGCTTTAAAAGCTTTCCGCCCTCAAATCTCTGGCCCTTAGGCACTCGCTCAGGAGACGCGGTGTCTTAAGTGAGGTCGGCTCAAGAGACGTCTCGAGTGTGTATGTTTGATCATGAGAGGCTCCGAGTGTGGGTGGGTGTGTGTGCGTTTGATGGTAGAGGGGTTTAACTAATGGGGGATCACTAATAGGATACATGGAGACCATCAGTCTTTTTTTTTGTTATCTTTTTTTTTTTATTTTTTACTAGCCCATGGTTTGAAAATGAGAAGGAAAAAAATAGAACGTGAGATCATGCAGGAGATCACAGAGAAGCGGAAATTTTGAAAAACATTTGGTGTGTCCATACATGTTCATGTCCATTAGTACACACCCCATCTTCCCTTTTCTGTCTCTTTTGGGAAGGTGCAGGGCGTGTATGTCCCAAGGACCTGAAGAGAACATCAAACACTGGATCATTAGTGAACTTCAATCCTTCCTGCCTCTCTTGGTATCTCAGTCACCCTCTCATCAACACCAGTGGTCCTTTAGGAGCACAACCGAAATCCTTTGACTCCCATCTGTCACATGTGTTGGTCATTTTTATCAATTTACAATGAAGAGGTTAAAGTAAGTTATCCAGTCCATTCAATCATCAAAGTTGAGATGCAGAAGGAGACAATGGGTATACCATCCAGAGACAACCCGGCTAAGATGCTTTTATCTATAAAACACATTAATCCAAACAACCTGACCACAAAAACTTGGAGTGCTGACTATGCATTTCTTCCTTAGACCAACGTCTACAATCCACTTTCCCCACCATTGATGTTTTGAATAATTCTATTGATATTATAAATGTAGTACATACAGATTTTAATAATATTGCTGATGTCATCCTACTGTTATTCCAAAAATGAACACATCATCATGTTCAGTTAGAAACGAAACCCCTGACCCCCGCTCCACACCCCTCTTTCGTTTAGATAGGCCCTCTTGTACTCAGTGAGGTATACTAGTATACTTTTTTCCAATATTTAGAAGTACAAGAAAAGGCATTAGAAATTCATCGAACTTCCAAAATGCCATTTGTTGCCAAAATGTTAATTCAAGTTTTGTCAACTGTCAGACTCACTTGTTAGAGGTTGAAGGGCAGAAACCAGAGTTGTACATGTATCACCAAAAAACTAACTTTAGTTGTCTTTGCCACTTTGGAAAAAATACCTTTTTTTTTTAATCTTTTTTTTTTTTTACCATGCTGTTTACACGTGCTGTGCAAACGATGAAAAATTGCTTTGTTGAAACAGAAGAGCATGCAAGAGGGGAACCATTCTCCTTGAGGGTTAAAAAAAAAAACAACATCTCCCCATCCCTAAAAATATGCATTGAGAAGTGAGAAAGAAGAAAGGCTGTTGCTGTTGTGGCTTGGCAGTTTCTGTGCAGGAAGAAACAGAAGAGTTGGAGAAAATCAGAGCGGCATGAGAGAAAAATAAAGGGAGATAGATGGAGCGATGACAAACGGCTCTTTCCTTCCTGCCGGCGCTGCGCGCGATGTGCTCTGCATCCCCTCCCTTCGCTGATTAGGCTTGTATTGATTTGAGGCGTGTTTGAGGGGGGTAGAGGCGAGGGGTTGGGGCGGGAAGGAAGAGAGAGATGAGGGGAGGAGAGGAGGGGGGCAACAGTCGGGGGTTTCAGTAATTGTACACTAGATGCTCCTCTTTGGTGGCGGAGGTAGAGGCAGGGGGACAGCAGGGAGGAGAGGAGGGGGAGGAGGGGGTGTTAATGGGAGCATAGAGGGAGAGCTCCTGATGGGAGAAAGGCTCAAACACATCAAAATGAGAGCACAGGGAGACGGAAGCAGATGGAGAAAGGGGTGTTTATGAGGGGAAGCCGGCAAAGAAGGGAGGTACAAAAAGTAAAAAACACACGATGTAGCCACGATGTCAGCTGACACCAACTTATAAAGCAGAAAGGAGACATAATTTCATGCAATTTAGTGCCGTCAGACTGGCAATCTGGAAAAAAGAGGGAAAGAGAAAGATTGTGATGACGCTCGGGCCGTTGAACAGAGACGCTGGAGGAAACACAGGGAGACAGAACCTCGCCTCAAACAGACAAACACACATGTGAGCAGGCTGGCCAGGTCTGTCATCCACAGTGGTACAAGCTTCCTCCTATTCGCTGACAGAACAGGCGCATCTCCAGATGCCCATGGCTTGCATTACCTGCTTTGTTACTCTTTTTTTCTCCACCTATTGCTTTGTCCTTTTCATTTCCAAAGCAGATGCCGTGTACAGGGGTACAAACAAAGCAGAGTGGTAATAGCGAGATCCTCTCTTTACTTTTTCCTGACAAGTCTCTCTGTGTGTGTATATTTACAGATGGGCCTCTAGGCAAAAGGAGAAGCTTTTCTCCCAGTAGCAGCAGTGAGTGTCCCTCTGACACCAAGAAGTCACGCAGCGTATCTCCAAAAGGTAAGGCTGAGCCTATATATGTGATATCACAACATACAAACACTCTGCAAAGACTGAGAGAAAAAGCCAAACAATGGCAGGGGTGACAATAGTGTCAAAATGATTGAATATGAGAAGTGAAGAAGATGATTCTCTAAAGATAACATAAAAACCTCTGCAGACCTATGAAAAACAGCAGGTCGTAGAGGCCCACAGAGCACTCTCATGCAGAGCTGTGTGTCAAGCAATGTGATTGGTCGATCCATCTACCTGTTGGGGAGGGAGGCATTTTGACATGAGAAGCTAAAGCTACAGAATAAATCCTCATGATTAGTCTAAAAGTGAATTTTTCTTTTTTTAAGTACAGACTGCACAAAAAAGTAACAATAACTTAAGCTGGTACAGCAAAAAACGTTGATACACAGAGTGGTGAAGCAAAGCCCCTCTGTAGAGCTGCAATCCCATTGTCGCCCTCTATCATTTATTATCTTGTGTGGTGTGAAACTGGGTGCCCCGCCTGGGACTGGGACCACCACCAAGCCTGTTCCTTTGGGCTCCTGAGGAAGACTTCCTGACTGATGCATTATACAGCAGGCAAAGCCAGCCGCGGCTCACCACACAAATCCGTCCCACAAACACGTGCGCTCTATGCGCCCACAAAGACACACACGCCTTCGACTCTGAGATGTGCATACAATCTTTATTTATGATGGTTATATCCTGTGTAAGACTTTGCCAGGAAGAAGTATTTCTGCAAACGCAACAGGAGGTTGGGTGTGGCTGCATTCAACTCAACATGAGCCCTGTTCTGACCTTTGACCTCTGAGTGACCTGTGACCTGCGGCTGTGGGGCTGCCTGGAGCCTCTTTCCCTCTCTGTGTATAGAAGCACTCACTCATGACCATCATCATCTTAGACAAACATCTGAAAGATGCATGGGGTTGGTTTTGGTTAAAAGGGACCTTGCTTAGGAAGTCTGCATGTTTGTGTCCTCTGCTTGAGATTTCTTTATGGCAAATAGGCTTTGTATGAAGTTTGACTCAGTGTTTTTGTGCCTTTCGGTTTTTTTTGTTATTTTCAAACAGCACAAAAACAGAATTTAGCATATATCTTTTCCTTGCTGTATATTCAGAGCAAGTGAGAGAGAGATAAAGACCTTGTTTGTGTGGGTCTGGGTATGTGCAGCCTGCTGCTCTCACAAAAGCCATTTTAAAACATTGCTGATCCCGTGTCTTAACCCTGAGCTCTGTCCACACCCAAAGTCTGACTCGCCACCTGTATGCGTGTTTGCATTTGTGTTCTCTGTGTTGGTTACATCTTCTTGCCCTGAAGTCGGACGACTGAAACCATACTTTAATGACTTATGCAGGTGGAAAAGTAGAATTGTGTGGAGTTAAAGAGATTGGTCATTACTGTGTAAATAATGCCTGTTTTTCTTTTATCTGCAAAGCCGGCACCTACTGCTGTGTTTAGAGAGGAGGCAAACTTAAGACAGGCACAGACTAGTTTCTCTCACACACACACACACACAAACACGCACAAACGCATACACTTCAGGACCTTGGGTGGATTAGCAGGAGCTTGGCGGCAGAGACAGAGATGCCTGTTTCCTCCCTCACCATTTCCACCCCACCTCCGCTCCTCAGCGCCACTCCTGCTCGCCTGCCCGGGGCCAGACTCGGGTTTCAAGAAGGAGGAGGTGGTAAAAATAACCCCTGCTTTCCTCTGCTTCTTCCTTCTCCACCTCATCTTCTGTCTCCCTCTTCTAACTCTTGAACCACCTTCCCCTATATCCCTGACCAACCTTACCTTAGATCATGTTACTATTGACAGAAAGAGGGAGGAGGGAGGTCAGAGAGAGATTAAGTATGTGGACTGACAGCTGGATAGATATACACCAAATCATTTCGACACTACAATGCAATACACATATTAAACACGTTATTATTCATTATATGTACTCAGAATATAGTTTTGCCAAAAAAAGCTGTGCTTTTTTGTCAGCCATTGAGAGTTCATGATGGGGTCAGGCTCAAAACATCAACACTGCATGGCCATGTGCATATCTTTATGTGATGAGACTTCCAGTCCTGCAGAGAAATGATCTTAACAAATGATCTAATGTGAGAAAGTCAGTAGGTCACGATTACCAGCAGTTTTAAAAATAAAAAAAAACTGTAAACAAAATGACCTGTAGATGTATAGGATTTTATTTATTTTTCTATTTTGTCTTGCACGTCTCCCTCCAACATTTTTGAAAGCTGCATAAGGTGTGATTTTTATCCTAAAAATACACCTGTCTTTTCAGCTTAAATCACAGAATGTGACAGAAATGCTTTCCTCCTTTTCAGGCTTAAATTCCGGTGTCTGAAGCGGTTACATTTCAGAGTCAGCCAGTCTGACTGTAATACAAAATGACTCTTTGGGTGCATTTCAGAAAAAAAGGTATCAGTGTATCTTTTACCCCAGGGGACATTTTTCAGGGAAATAAGATTTTCTCAGACTGTGGAGGTCTATGTTTTCACAAGTCATTAGTAAATTAAGCAGATTTGGCCATGACGCTCTGCTACAGGAGACTCAGATTAATGAGCATTTGGATGCCGTTGACAAATGGCAGCAACTGTTTTTTCAGGAGAGCTTAGGGTTAACAGATCTGGTGATGAATGAATGAGAGACAGTTAGAGATGAATGCTTGGATCTATGAACTTTACCCTAAAAGCAGCAGGAACTTTCAAAAGTACTTCCTCCTGACCAGGAACATTTTTCTGGAGAAAATTTGTTCCCATTATCTTTTAAAGCAACCTGTTACAGCAGAGAAGCTGAAAGGGATAAGAGCTTAAAAAGAGAATTCCATTAAAAAATCAGGCTGGGGCTGCACAACAATTCTTGTGCACATTCAGTCTAATCACAGGACAAGCAATGTTAAGTATACTAAACATATTTTTTAAAACAAATGCTTATAACGGTTTATACAGTATAATGTGTTGGATCATTTTTTAGTTCTGGATTTTGATATGGTCGAATGTATTGTATTTTGTCATGGTTAGTTGTACGAACGTCATTTAGCATAAAAGAAACCTCTGAAACGTAGTCATACATTAAAAAGCTTTTAGTTTTCAGTTCATTACAACTTAATTTAAGCCTAAAGTTTGAGAAATGACGGATGTAATTCAAATTTTTTCATTTTCTTGGAATTGAAGTCATTAATATATTTTTAGTAGGTCTATTAAAGTAACCACTATGTTTTCAAGCACGCTTTTCCCGTCAAATTATATGTCGCTGAATAATGTGTCTTTTTTTATTTTAGTACAGCCTTAAGTACCTCAAATGTGCCTACTACTTTATAACTTTGTGTTTAATTCCTTCCTGGTTATATCAGAATAATGAACAGCAGCTCCAACTATTGTGTTGGGTGATGTTCTATGATCTTTGGGTGGAGTCAGCTACAGACCTGTGAAAGCTGGTTACCTTTTTGGGCCAGTGAAGGTTTAAAACTTTGTACAGAAAGCATGTTTTCACTAGTTATTTCTGTGAAACACTGAGCAATGTACCAGGGCTAAAGGCTGAACTTTTGTTTTTTTCTAATGACTTGGACACTGACAGTTGCTCCTTCCTTCCTCAGAAAACTCCCAGAGCCCAGTGGTGGAGGCAGGTGGCAGTCACGGCCACATGAGCCCCGAGGAGCATTATCGGCGTATGATGTCGGTGCTCAGCGAGCAGGGGTCCTATGAGGAGCAGCAGCAGCGCCTCTACCAGCTAGCAAGTAGCATGGGCCTGCCCAGCCATGGTCAGTATACAGCCTCTGTATTGATGTTTATGTGGTTATCATCATTCTCACTGTAATGACACACACTAAAGACACTTCAGTGAGAATTGATTTTTAAATAGTTCATTGGTTGTGAGAATTGATTCATAACAGATCCAGGTGTACTTCTTTTAAGTCGGAGTGAATAGAGATATATTTCAGACAGTAAACGCTTCCTTTTGATGCACTCAACAGCTTCTTTAAAAGAAAAGAATATCTCCCGTCACCTGTCAACAGGTCACAGACATGCAATAGTGTTGTGTAACCCCAGAGTTGAAGCGCTGTGTTCAGACGACCGTGTTAAGGTGTGCCACCCTGCTGCCATGGTAAAACCCCAGCCATGGAGACAGCTGACAGCTCTATTTGCAGAGCTTGCCCAACCCAAAAGTCAAAGTGTCACTCTGGGTGATTTCTGACCACCCTGACTCCCTGCCGTTAACAACACCCGCATGCATCAACGTCATGATTGATCTGGGTACTCTCATTGGCCGCATGCCAAGCCTGTAAAACCACCTACACCCAGGAAATTGCCAGCATGTCACACATTTACTCAGTTTCTGCAGGCATAAAATTGACTGTTTTTTTACTTGAAAATTGTAGTTTGACTAGAAAAAGGGAAAATGAGAAAACCTCCCTCGTTTGGATTTTACAATTTGGCAAGATATCCATTTTAATGTTAATGCCATAAAATGTTAACATTTCTCTCATATTTTTCTAAAGAATGTAATATTAGGTCCTGCTCGTCTTTCACAGTAGCATAAATCCAATCGATGTTCTAGCTGAATTGTACTTGAGCTACTTTTATTTTTATTTGATTAGTAATGATTTTTAATTGCTGGCTGCAAATCCAAGGGGCGAAGCCTATAAATGTTTTAATTGCCTTTTCCCTGTGTCTTAGAGGATTTACAGGCAAAATGCGGTGCATTTGTGAAGGTTTTATGACTCGGAGCTCAGTTTGATCACTGGCTTCCTTTCCCAGAAGCCTTGTCGGTTTTTAGGTATACACACTGTGGCACAACACAGAAACCCCCTCCCTTCACTTCCATATTCAAAACCGTTTCATAGTTTTAATCTGCTCATGTGCATTCTTCTTCCAAGCCACACTTAAAAGCTGCGTGTGTGCACAAGAAGAAGAGGCAAAGGTACACCAGGAATAGGACTAAAGAGAAGAGAAAAAACTGTGAGATGGTCAAAGAAAACTATGTGGGAACAGAGATGTGGGAAGAGAGAATAAATAACTTCTCCTGCAGCAAGAAATCAAAACACAACAAAACGCATAGAAACAAGTTTGTCAAACACTAAAAGACAACTTTCTGCCGTGATTTCCATACAGTGACATGCAGTGTGTGTGTGTGTGTGTGTGTGTGTTTACCTCCTGTCACATCCTCTAAGTGCTACAGGAGACCTGAGCAACACTCCTGGCAACTTCCTCCAGATAACCACCAACTGCTTACCTTTTTATTTTTTACAACACATGTTCTAACACTACCATCACATCTACTTTTTCCCCAGTAAACAGGTGGAGCTTGTTAAAAAAAGTGACACACAAAAACGGTCCCTGAGATTGGACAGGGGGGTGTTTTGTCTCGTGAGATGTGAATGTCCTCCACCAAAACCCCTTGACATTGACCTGGTGTCCAATGGGGCCCTTGTGACCTCCCCCACCCTTCCCTTTGTGCCCCTCATTCCTCCTATACATCTCTCTCTCGAGCTTGCCTTTACCCCAGCCTCCACCCTCCTCCTTTTCCTTACCACCAACTCTCCCTTTAGCCTTGGTCCCCGCAGAGCATCCTTTCATGTGTTTGAAGTGTAGGGCACAGAAAATGAAAGCGTGTGTGCGCCAGAGAGGTGGGGGGGGGAGAGAAGCTCTGTGTACCTATGTATGTGTGTGTGTGTGTGTGTGTGTGTGTGTGTCTCTCTGTGTGTGTAAATGTGTAGGTGCAAGGTGTTGTTTGAGAGGCTCTCTCTGGACCTGATGGGCCAAGGAAGAGTTGGGAAAAGAGTGTGTGTTTGTAGGGGAGTGGAGGTGGAGGGGTTGTAGAAATGGCCAGAAGGGCTCTCCCTCCCTCTCCATATGATGAAAGGAGACTGAGGGAGAGGGAAAAGAAAATGAGCGGTGGGGGTAGTGATCCAGATGAAAGTGAGACGAGGAGTTGGATGGAGGGTGCATTTTGTTTTGTCCGCTGGAGTTGGAATTTTACTGAAACACGGAACCGTCGACATCTCTTTGCATCATAAAGATGTGGAGAATTCCAGGATGAGAATAACAAAAAGAAAATATCCCAGCTAGATATACTTGGGAGATATTTCCCTTCATACAGGCTGTCACAGCTGCTAAATGGCTGTAAAATGCTAGCTATTTAGGTGCTAAGTGCTTCAACGGATGCCTTTTACGTACCTTCCAGTCCAAAAAATCCAGTACCAGACCAGTCGAGCTGCTCTAATGCAGCACTCGCCTGCATTCTTTGCAGAGGAAAACCTAGCTTAACCGAAGGGATTTAGGCACAATTCCAGGGGTGATTATGGTGAGAAAATAGGAAGGCACAAAAAAAAAAGGAATTGGGTCCAAATACCAAACTGGGACTTCCCATAACCCAAAATAACTCATGCAAAGCAAGAGGTATGAGAGTGTTTGTCCTCAATTAGGACTCTAATTTGCTGTCAGTGGGACTCTCCTCGTGTTGCAGCTGCTGGGACACGAGGAGATGACTTTTACAGGGGAAATTTCCGAATCTGACTACATACCTTGTGCACACAAAGCCACACAGATGAGAAAAGCCTCAGGTGACACTGCTCCTCTAAGCTAATATGTAAAAGAAATAAAGTAGGGGAAAGAACAAAGTATGGACCCAGGGTCGCAGAGGATTTACAAGCATGGGATAAATTAATACAGAAAGGAATAATTGAAGAAAGAAAGAAAAAGATCAAATACTGTTTCATTTACATTTTAAACTCTTGAACTGCTTGATTTAAGTCAAGTCATGTTATGTGCACAGTTATTACATAGTAATGTAACAAGACACCAAAAAAAAAAAAACTTTACAAAGACTATGAGACACCAGTCATAAAATATCAAATATATTCAGTATTACACGGTGATCTAAGAGTGTGCCGCCATGTAGAGCTCACATATAGAGGAAACATCTCGTTTAACTATCACGGAAAGTGTAATAGAATGAAGCATATGGATTGTCTGAAAAGAAAAAGTTTAAAAAGTAGAATCAGCAAAAAGGGCACACAAAAAAACATTTTCCTGGATTTAGAGGATTTAGAAACCACAGCCAGACTGAAAACACTGCAGGGGTAACTTCAATCATCATCAAAAAAGCTTGTTGCTCATCCTCCAATACCACTGTACGTAAGTCAGCATCAGTGTCTCCCTGTGTCACCATGGCAACAACTACAAGCCTGTCCAGCTGTGTTCCATCCCTTTTTAGTGGCGCTGAAATTCTGCTGGTGATGTGACATTGGTGATGATGTTTTCTTAGCTTGGTCATGTTCCCTAAATAGTTGTGTGTGTGCTGTCCTCTGTAAGATTCACAGGCAAAAGTTAGTCCGGAGGCTGCAGAGTGATCAGGATACCTTTGCCTCTGCAGCATTGATTCTTTTTCAATTTGTTACTCGGAGGGCCCCAGACTTTATGGAAGTGCCATATTAAAAATTGCTAAAGCTCCCCTTAAACTGAGCCAGTCGTACAAAATAATTGGTGAGGTGGGAGTGTGACCACAGAAGACTCAGAGGTCAACTGCTCCACGCTGTCACAGCTGCACAACAGATTGTGTGTGTGTGTGTGTGTGTGTGTTAGTGTGTGTGTGTGTCTGAGTGTGCACTTTGGGGCTTCGGTTCCCTCTGATCCCTCTCTTATCTCCCACAATCCCCCCCTCCCCCCACTTTACCGGCGCGCACACACAAAAACACACACGCACACACTCTTGTCTGCCGCCAGCCGAGTCCCCTGCGGCCTGGCGCAGCAAACAGATCGATACACCGGAGCTAGGCTGCATTAATATCTGTCGCTTCACCCCCCCTACCCCGGCGCCCACTCAACTGCTTCAACACACACACACACACACACACACACACACACACACACACACACACA